GCCAGCCGGCGGAGCGTTAGGTTCCGCCGCTAAACAATAACTTGCTTCGTGAAATGCGTTAGCTGGCCTTCTACAGAATGCCCATTTTTAACCAACCGTCTGATACGCGCGGTGGAGTGCGGAGCTAAAGTGGTGTCTGTAAACAGCCACCATGCATTGGATGTCAGGATGATTTAGCGGTCGAATAATATTGATGCCAATGATTTTGCAATAGAAATACCCATTATCGTATATCGCTAAACATCCATCATACATTCTTAGGGATTTGGGAATGTAGCGGTCGAACGGTATTTTATGTTGATGACAACAACGCAATGAGATGATATTGAAGTGAAATGCGTTATCTAGAACCGGTTTTAAGCGATCTATATGTTCCCGAATACGTAATTATCGGCCCTTATCACCCTTATCACTTCCTGTACCCCACCGAACATGTTCCCGTCCCACCCTGTACATCACTTCTTGGAACCAACGCCCCACTGCTGCTGGGACGCGCGCTATGAATTTCGTGAAATTTGCGTTTCAGCGCCTCTTATCAGATCTTATCAGTCGGTATCACTTTCTAAACCCCACCAAATATGTTGCCGTCCCACCCCCTACATCATACTCAAAATACAGCGTTCCATGCCTGCAGCGAAGCGCGCTATGAATTTCGTGACAGACGGACGTACGCACACACAGACACACACACAGACATACTTAGCGAATTATATATACACTGCGTTTCATAAATATAGGTCCACCCTAAATTTTTGCTATTCCAAAGTTGCTGTGCATTTTTGGAAAATGCCGCTATTACCAATAGTTTCCCCATAACGAAAAACCTTGATACTTGATTTCTGGAGAAATCTCGATTCAGAATTATTAAAATATCTTCCTTAGAACGTATTTTCACCGTTTCGCAAATATGACTACACATCACTTGTCGAGAGATTTTACTATAACGAAAAAACGTCACGAATTTTCAATAATGGGATGACCCCCCAATAATCATAAGGAACACAATAATACGTTTTGAAATGCTGGTAGCCAAATTAGCTATTACAGTAGGATCGAAATTCGTCTGGGCGCCGATGATCGACCTTTTCAGCTTTTCGGCTGTTCCATTTTGCTTTACTTTGCTGTGGAACTTTATAACAATTAAGGCCCAATGATTCTCTATTGGAATCTAATTCAGATAACATGGTGGCCACCAGATAACTGCCACATTTTTTCCTGCAATTCCATCTGGCGCGGAGGGACCGGCATGGACAGCCGCGTTATCGTGTGTGAAAATCAAGGATAGAGGGGATCCTTGTTGAAAAAATGGTAAGACTCGCTTCGAAAGAACTTCACGATACCCTGTGGAATCTTTGTGAACGGAAACAAAAGCGAGCTCTAGCTACTCAGTCGTTCAAAGGTGCCTCAAACCATAAGGGATTCACCGCCGAAATTACGTTACATTGAAACCATCTGCGATTTTCACGCGATCATCCTGTACCCTCTTTTTCTGCCATATCCACCTAGAATAAACTTTTCCACGTCGATCTCAGACCACCTGTAGAACGAAACAAGGAGGTAGAGTCCAAGATCGCGAAGGGTCTTAACAGCCACACCATCGCTCATTAAGTTGAGCCCTTTTCCACGGAGAAATGGAGACTTGCGATCTTGTAGCGCTCAAATAATCTTGGAACGCTCTTCATCAATCCGTTGAAGATGTTATTGCTCTGCTGGCTTACTCACCACACGGTGGTTTTGCTCACGGAAGGCCGCATTTCAGTACGGACTTTGTTCGGACTCCTTGTATAATTCGAGAGAAGACACCCAATTCCTCCTAAATTTTGAAGGAAACGCAGTCTTTATTTACCTAAGCGACTCTTCTCTCCGCACTGACCAGGATTTTGCACATAGTCGCTTATGCAGTATGAGCCGGCCGACATGGGAGGAAATTCTGCTCCTCAGCTATCCCACTTCAGTAAGTGCTCTAGCTTGAGCTTGTTACTGGGAAGAGAGGCGAATAACACGAGGTATGGTAAACTCGATGTCGACTGAGCCCACATATTTCCCCGCTTCCCTGATTCCCTTCACGGATCGTGAGAAATGGAAACTTTTTATGAGTGGCCCGATATTCATGAAACGGTGAAAATTCGTTCTAAAAAAGTTAATTGGGTTACTTGAGGGGGGAATTTGTCAGAAAAACACTATGAAGGTTTTCCGTGATGAGGAATCTAACGGTGATAGCAGCATTTCCAAAAAATGCACAGCAACTTTGGGGTAGCAAAAATTTAGGGTGGACCTATAATTATGAAACGCAGTGTAGTAGGGAAGTTCTTCATTACGAGTGATTCCCTTCTTGACATTTGCAAAAATGACTGCGAAAAATTCAATCAAATAAACTCTTAGCCGCTGCACACAGAATCTTCTCCCTCTTAATCTTTAGCGTTTGTCCCACCCGGTGGCGAGGTCCGCTTTTCTGGTATGTTGACGACCACTTTCCCGATTTGTGGCTGATCGGGGTGAAGGCCAACTAATTTCCCATGCTATTGCACATATGTAGTATGTAACCCGAGTTGTTAATCACTTTATAGAGACGTTTCAAACACTTTTTCTCGATTTTTTTTCACATTATACTTATCATTCGCACTCGTTAACAATTGTTGTTGTAGTGTTAAAATAGGCAAGAGTACTCTGCATTTGCCGTCAAGCGTTGCGCCATTATACTCATGTATCTCCTTCCAAACGCTTAAAGGCAAGCCCCGGAATTAGCCCGACCAGTAGGAAGGACAATGCGAGAGAAAGGGAGGGATCCGTACCTACCTGAGTCATGCCAGCTTCGACTAAAATTTGCTTGATTAGGGCGCTAATCCTTACGGGCTGAACCATCGACCCTCGTTGCAACGCTTCCCACCCACCGCGATTGATGTGGAGATCAGCGTGCTCTCTCGAACGGCGTGCTCTCTCGCGTGTTTTGTCTTCTTTGATCGCCCTGTCTCGCCGTCGTACCACATCCGACCTTACTGAGGTTAAGGCCTTAATTTCTGCGTTTCCGATGATTTCTATGGCTTCCTTTCCCCTTTCGCTTCACCTCGCACTTCAATCATCACTACGAAGGCCTGTTATACACTAGATTTATCCCGGGTTTTGCCTTTGAATTGTAGCGAGGTTAAGGAGATCATGGACACATACATCGCAACACTAATTGTGTATCGCAACTATGTATTAGGCTGTCGCGCAATGCATATTGTCAGTATGGAAAGAATCGAGGCAAAAATTCTTCTTCTTCATACCATTTTTCCTGTGCATCTGTTGGTGTGACACCGAGACTTGCTCGCTGTTTCTCGCTGATGCTAAGAAAGATTATTTAGAATTTAGAGGCTGATAAGTTTCGAATGATCGTAGTGCTGAACTCTCTTCAGCATCCTCGCTATTCTCTAGATTGTTACCAGTCGATTTCCCGTTATTCACGTCATTACATTTGCGTGACGAATTTGCCAGTACTCATAAAGTTCGCGACAATTTGAATCAATTCTTCGAATCAAAGGAAGTGAGCCCTTCAAACGCACGGGTCAGGATCGAATTGTTGACGTTGCTTAAAAACTTGACAAGATGCACAACGGTTTGGGTAGAAAAACAAAAGCCTTATAGGAAGCACTATAATTTGACTAGTGAGGTTGGTCGTGATGTGACCGAGAGACAGCGCTGCGAGGAGAGGGAAACGCGAGAGAGTACGTGGTCGCGAGAGGGCGCAAAGACCACGTATGCCGTGATTGATAAGGAAGGCAGTGCGCCGGGAGCGCACAAGGCAAGGCCTTAGCCCCCTTAACGCGCAATTTGAGTCGCGGCAGTGTCGCATCCTGGGAGGAGACTACCTTTTGGCACCTAATCCCTCGTAGCTTAAAAAGAGGAGTTCACGATAAGAACGAAGCAAGTACGGGGAAAATTGATAGTTGGGAGACAGGCGGACTTCCTGAAGGTGCTGACCGACGAAAGATTCTCGAAGAAACGAAACTATGACCGTTTTTTCACCACTTTATGATCTTCACGGGGCCGCTCAGTGAAAATAGACCACGGTCCTGTAGAAACACATGAATCGCTATAAGATGCAGAAAACTGTTTTGGAAAGAGCCCTAACCACGCAAGAGAGCAATGCTAGGTCTCGGGGATGAATTGCTCTCTCTTGGCGTGGTTGGCGGGGTACGCCCACCGACTATCTAATCACTCGCCGCAGGTCTATACGTGGCGAGTGATTAGATAGCAGAGAGCGTAGTGTTGAAGAGGGCACAGCGATGAGAGTCGCATCAATGCGCAAATCAACGGGCAAGGAAGGGGTCCCATTTCTCGGGTTTCGGGCCGTTTCAAATGGTTTCTTCTTCATCCCTGCTCCACTGACCACCTCTACCCTTATTTCCAATGAGCTAACTTTTCATCGTAAATTCTGCCTTCAACTGTGCAGCGTGCAACTGCGTGGGGTATAACCGTTTGGCAACAATGGTGCATAGAATCTCACTCCAAATTCGGCAGGAATTTTCTTTGGGAAATGGTTAATGAGAAATCGCGGCCTAAGGGCACATTCCTGATGAACTCTCGAGTGGGCTGTCCTGTTTGTGAGAAGGACAGCACTTCTACAAAGGTGAGATATGTGCTGTCCCCATGTCTCAGAAAAGAGCGACTGAGACGCTAGGTCCTTATATCATCGCTGCCGTTGCTTGCGTTGCTGTGATAAACGCTATGGAGTGCCTGCGTCTTGCTCATCTATTATGTTCTCTTGTCTCCGAGCCCTCTTGGCGTAGAATGTTTCGTGAAGTGCCCATGTATGCCCAGCTCGCAAGCACGTAGGCGCGGGATGTGCGTTCATGTTCGTGTTACAGAAAATGTCATGGAATTTAGATTTCAAGTTGATCGTAAACTGAAAAGACCATATAATAGTTATGCAACATTCCTACTAATATATACATATACGCAGTGTTTTTTAAGATTATGCGGCGGGAGACCAGCAGCCTACGCACAGCCGCTCAAAAAGGATGAGGACATCGTTCAAACATCATCAGTTACGCACCATGAAGCAGTACTTCAATTTGAACCACAATCCAGATGCCAAAGATCTTAAACAGCTCGCTCAAAAAACTGGACTGACCAAGCGGGTCTTACAGGTAATTAACTTTACAGAGATTTGAACAAGAGTAGGTGAGAAAATGCAGTGGGATAGTTACCACAAAGAATCTGAGAACTCATAACCAGATATATGATGATAACTTCGACATGGCGAGAATGCCAAAACAGCTTCAAATAAAGATCATGCCAAAATTGCAGCTGGACAATTATTGCTGTTACGTCCTATGTTTACAAATAAAAGGTTCCAGGGTACACGGTAATTGAAGGAGTAGCGGAGAGCATAACATGCCGAATTTTCAAAGAACGTTAAGTGAGTTCTATGAAGTGCGCGGAAGTGGTGTAGTGACAGGTTGCGCTGCTTATGTTTACCACGCACAAGATTATAAGTTAAGGAACATAGGATGTATACCGTAAACAAGTAGACCACCCCCCAACCCGCCCGGAACACGCCGAGGACGAAGACAAAAAAAAACGACCGGAAATCATGGGTTATGAGCGCGGTTGAGGTTCAGTGCACAATGTAACTGTGTGAGAGCGGACAACGCGCGGCCTTTGCTGTTCAGAGGCAGGAGCCCAAAATTGTAAGTGCTGTTCAGGGCAGCGACCCAAAAATGGAGCGACGTCGCAGCGTTCGCCTCGCCGCTTGCGCGACGAAGCCGAGCACCGTCGCAGCGAACGCTGCGCGCGCGAGCATAGGGAGGTGATCCCCGGGGTGCCGCCTCATCCGACGTGTGGCGACAGCCGCTTGCGTTGCATCCTCCACCTTCTACATAAACGGCGCTTAGTACTCTGCGCGGGCCTGCTCGACGCATTCTCTCTTCGTTGAGAGGGCGCAGAAACGAGAAAATCAATGACACGTGAGATTGCGCGCCCCAGTGCAACGTCTTGTTTACCACGCCTACAGTCCGCAGATTAAATCCTGAATCAGCGTCGTCCAGGCCAACCAATCCGTCTGCACATTCGGAGTCGAGACTCGTGGAAGATCTAAACAAAGACTTGCACTTCGGCGGTCCCGCAAATCATTGTTTGAAGCAGCAGTCTCAGCAGGGTTGAGAAGATTTATAAGTTTAGGAACATAGGATGTGTACCGTAACCCACATTAGCGCTAGGGCGCGGCGCTGTCCCCCCGCAAGCGACGCCATTGTTAGGTGACGAGCGAATACGAACCACGACGCTACACCGGAGTGCAGCGTTCCGGAAATGAAGCGAACGCTGCCCGCGGTCTGCGCGCGGGTAGGAGGAGGTGGTCCACATGCCGCTTCATCACGTCAGGCGAAATCACTAGGCTTCGCGTTCTTGGTCAACTGCGCTTAGTATAGCTGGCGAGTTGCTCGACGCATACTCTCTTTGTTGAGAGAACGCAGAGAAAACGATAAGTGGGTGCCGAGCACACATGGAAATCGATGACACGTGACATTGCGCGCCCCAGTGCAACGTCGAGAGGGTTACGGTATACAGCCTATGTTCCTGAACTTATAATCTTCTGTAAGGTTGTTACCTTCGACACTCATGACGTGGATTGATGCGTTAGCTCTAGTCAAGAGCATAAGTGTGATTGAACAAAAAACACCTTGGAAAGCCGCTAGGAAAGGGAGCTGAACGGCTTCGAAGTGGGCGTGGTTGGAAGTCGGCCGAGGGGATTGCAGCCGACTGAGCAACCACGCCCACTTCGAAGCCGTTCAGCTCTTTCTAGCGGCTTTCCAAGGTGAGTTTTTGTTCAGTCACACTTCTTATGTTCTTGACTAGGGCTAGCGCATCGTTCCACACCATTAGTGTAAGAAGGTAAAAACCATGCTGGGGCTGTTGCTTAAAGCCAGATCGCATTCGAATTTTGCGCTACGATTTTGAATGTATGTAGTGCGCGTGGCGCATCCTGAAATGTGATTGATCAACGCAGCATGCCTTATTTGGCTTTTTACTTTTGATACCTTTTATAAGTTCTTTACGGTGAATAAGCCATCTTGTGATCAGTAGTTGTAATTCAAATTGCTCTTCGAAGATTGTGCTTCGAGAATAATTTGCATACAGGGTGTGAAAAAATTACAAGAGATTGCCGCTGTAAATTTTTAACTTAAAGGAATCCTTGCACGGAAAAATCATGATTCTATTTCAGCCATAAATCACTGGCTTGAGACTCATTATCCACGATAAGAATGAAAAGAACAGAAAAATTGCTTTGTTTTGGTAAAAATTCGAAAAATCGAAAGGGCTGCTACGCGTTCAAAGTGCCCACGGACGTCTTTCACAAATGCTGGCGACGGGGATGCTTCCACTTGGTTCTTGGAGTGCCTTCACTAGAAACTCTTTCTGGCCTTCTGCTTTATTGCATTCACATCTTACACTTCTACTCCATCCTATTCTATCGATCGATTTGTCTCTACTCTCCGAAATCGCGCGCTTTAACCCGATTCTTTCATTGCGTCGCCTGATACGCCCCAGGCGGACTTATTCCATGCCCCGCCTTTGGCTCCGCCCGAATTACCTTCGATTGTCCATAGAATGGATTTTCGTGAGTTTGTTTCTCTTCGGAAACCGAATCTTCATGCGTGAAACTTTGTGTATTGCATCTAGTGATCACAACTGATACATTCATGTTGAGAAAGAATGCAAGAATTTTCCGCGAAGGATTCCTTCAAATACCAGGAGCTTTTGATGTATGTTCTATGTAATTGCTTTGATAATTCAATAATCCATTGATTCCATCACATGAAGTTCTTCAAGTTCGGAATGATCAATAATCACTACTTTGCGCCGCCGAGCTGTTTGATTTGTGTTGCATTGCTGGACGATTCAGAAGCTGTTCCAATCTTTCGTCAATCACCATTACAAAATTTAATGGGCTCTTCACCTGCATCAATAAGCCTGAACCTATTAGGACTGCTTTTGCTACTTCACGAGTGACCTCGAGGATACGTGCGAAGAGCGCTTGAAGCCACTCGCTTAATCCGTAGTTTGGCCCTTGTGACTGCTGTCGGGCTCAGTTTCTTGCAACGGGTCAAAGGGGTTTCGTATAAAAATGCTGACTTCTAACCGCTGCGTGAAAACTAAATAAAAGGCCAAGATGCTACAAGGCCCTGCTTCGATTCTGTAACGATTCCTTCTCATCGTTTCCTCGATGGGAAGATATTCTGCCGTCGAGCCATTGTTGCAAAAGGAGGGCAACCGGATCAGTACTAGTGAGAACGACCAGCCATCAAGTGATGATTCCGCAGATAATAAGAGCAGCAATTAAGGTTCGAAGATATTTTGAACTTCTGCTGCTTATAAAACTGTATAGTAAAATCATCTCGAATTTCCTCTGCCTCGGTTGATGCTTCAAAGTGGAAGGACCCCAAAAGAAACACGGGGCATCAGAGCAAGTCTGGGCGCCCACCCACAATCAGAGTCAACCCTGCGTTGCGCAGTTCTCAACGGCCACGTTGCGCAGTTTCGCCCGATTAGACACGTTCTCTCGCGCGAACATTCACACTCGCATGCTCGAGCCGTCTGTGTCTCCGCCCATACAGCGTGCGTTGAGGATCTCTCAACGTGCCGTTGCGAACTGCGCAACGCAGGGTTGACTCTGCACACAATGCACAGATTGCCTAAACATCGACGACAGCAGTATGTCGTGGATTTCACCATATTAAAGGTGTGGCAACATAGGTTTTTCAACTCAACTCTTATGGAATGCTCTGAATTGAGTGCATCAGAGGCAAAGTATTGCTACGAACATAGTACCAATATCGGCTAGTTGACCAGTCCCTCTTGAAATCGTTAAACCTGCAGGTCGATTACTTTCTAGGAAGACTTGGTTTACTCATCACAGAAAGCGTCCACTCCAAAGAGCAATGTTGTTTCTTGTTTGATAATTTTCTACGAATATGATCGTGCTGTATATTTGGGACGTCTCGGCACTTTTTTATGATCAATTTATGTTGTTACCGCACTTTTTGCCATCCTGTACATAGCCTACAAATAGCTCTCACCATGATTGAAAATCTTTTCTTTATTTTTTCTCCGAGGCAGACTAACCATATTTAGACATCGAATGAATGATACATGTTCGTAGAATGACATAAATAAAGATATGAATATATATTCTCGCGAAACATATTTATTTATCTATTTAACGACGCACGAGGAATTCTTGCAGTATTTCACAGGTGTGGTTCCAAAATGCCAGAGCGAAGTTTCGACGGTCAATGCATAACAGTGATGGATCGAGTATTTCTCCTTTCCCCGTGGTATCGTCAACTAGTCAGGATGAGCAGGTACACGTCATTGCCTTCAATACTTCTCCGTGAGCATCCGCCATCCTTGGAAACCTCTTCATAATGAGGTACTTGCCAAAAGTACACGTCATAAACAAAGCGCGAAAAATATTCGCGGATATCCAAAAATAGAAATTAAACCCGCTTAAATTTTTGTGGAAAGGTGCCACGGACCTCGAATTGTTGTCGTTGCTCAAAACTAGAAAAAAGAGCGATGAGGGGTATTTGGGTGAAACTCGGATTGGGGATGCCACGCGGAGACGCGGCGCCCTGTTCGTCTGCACCTTGAACTTGTAAGGCTGAGTCCGCGGCGCCACTGTCTTTCGAAAATGGCCTTGGGCGGCGAAATAGTGTCGAGCGATTCGCTTGATTCGTGAAGTCCTACACCCTTAGTATGGAGAAGTTGCAACTTACTAATTACTCTATTGAATTCAGCATGTTTTGGAACTACAGTGCGTTTCAAAAGCATAGGGACGCTCTAAAAACTGCTGCTCCGCGTAAGGATAGAAAATCCGGGCCTGTTGGCTTGTTACACGTTCACTGAATTCAGCATGCACTCAAACCACAGTCCACCTAATTTCAGAAAATAGCACGACCTAGGAAATTTTTTAGAGAAAGTTTGAAACTGCCCGCTATTTCAAAAGTGTAGGGGCATCCTGGGCAAGAGGATCCAGGGGTAAAATTGCTGCCTATCAACTCATATGAGATTTTGTTTTCATGCTCAGTGAAAGCATACTGTCTTCTCAATCTGGTTAAACGATTTGAGCTTTCTACAGAAAAACAGTATCTAGATGATTTTAGGATGGTTACACCCATCCCCATTGCGACGCCTCGACAGCGCACTGGAATCTTCCACGACATTTTGCTAACTGCCAACAACTTAGATCCGCCTCACGATGATTACTCAGATATTTTGTAAAGGAATTGGATCTGAGCCACTCCCGGGCGAACCGATAACTTTGATTTCGTTGGCAGTAAGCACCGTTCACCGGATCAGCTGTGTGGATGGGGGTATTGACGTGAATGAAGATGAAATTCCACAGGCGATCATTACTTAGGAACGACAGAAAGTAATCATCAGGAGTACCATCGTAGTAGCTGGAGTCCGTTGACAGTAAACAAGTTTTCCTGTTCTAAACGTATGGAGGCGTCTGGGTAATGAGATGTTAACGGTCAAATCTCTTCTTTCTCTCAACTCATTTCTAATTTGGACATGCTTAGTGAAATCACTTTAAAGGCAAGCCCCGGGATAAAGCTGGTGATAAGAGCGCTTCGTAGTGATGACTGAGCTGCGGGACGGCCTGAAAGTGGAAAGGAAAGCTAGAGAAATCTTTGGGATCGCTGAAATTAAGGCCTTAACCTTCAAAAAGGTCGGATGTGGAACGAGGCAGGGCGGTCAAAGAAGACAAAACACGCGAGAGATCACGCCGTTCGAGAGAGCACGCCGATATCGAGGTGGGTGGGAAGCGTTGCAACGGGGGTCGATGGTTGCAGGCCCGTAAGGATTAGCGCCCTAACCGCGCAACTTTTGCGGCGAAGCTGGAGTGATCTAGGGTAGGGACCTTACAATTTCCCTCGCGGTATCCTTCCCACATTTTGGGCTCCCGGGTTCGCCTTTAACCTTGCAGTGTACTCGGACGACTCGAGCTTTCTATGGAGGGACAGCTCTCAATCTCGGGATTGGCCTTTAACCATGCAATGTGCCCGGACCATTTCACAGCTCTCAGAGTACCACGTCGTCTCGTCTCGGTAGCACACCTTATATCCTCCAAGATAGTTTAGCGCTTACCACCAGCGTGGATCTGCCACGTAATTCCTCACAACTTTGATTTTGTTGATTTTGTTTTACACAGAAACTAGATACGAGATGGTTGCGTGCCAATCTACAAGATCAGTTTCGTTGAAACTATACTACTGTTTGAAACTCTCATATCGAGTCCGCTCTGCTCGATACACAAGTCAGGGAAAGCGTTGCACTATTGCACATTTCAGATCAGAACGCCTCGTATCCGCCACTGAAGTTCTCCCGGCTTGAGAACTATCTTTTCTGGGGACCATTCGATCCAGTGTAATATCCATTCTGCGAAGCTCAGTTAAACTTTTTCTTGTCAGAATAGATAACCGAAACTCTATAGAGCTTTTAGTAGAATGAGCACCTTCCTATCATGTAGACCCACCTGCTGAATCCTATTCCGTACTCATGATCCTCTAGGCTAATTCGAGGAGAGCTGTTTCGTGGAGCTCCTTCAGTCAAGGAGCCTTCAGTATAGATCCTCGCGCAGTACTTGGGGTCGAGCTGGTACAGACGGTGACTTTCAGTTGATGCGGAAGGCAGAGGTTCGCGGAGGATCTGGTTGACTAGCGTGGTAGAACTCGGATGCGGTTGCTAATTAAGAAGTACTTCGCGTTTGTTTGAATGATACTAGTGGCCTTCCAAAGATGCTGTCCATAACATGATGGATTTCTCATAAATTTGCTAACGCACCAAAGGATTGACCACGTTGAGCAGCTGTGAGATATTTGACCTTTGCACAAGATGTTCTCAGGTAGAAAGCTCGAATCGTCCAGGCGTATTGAAGGGCAAATTGAAATACTGAATCGACCAAATTGAAAAAAAAAGAATTGGAACAAGGGAACTTTCGAATTTTTTTATAGAAATGTTTGTAGCTCATTTTGCTCTCTGAAGTAAAGTAGATAGTGTCCAACGCATGCTGAGTTCAATGAAGTATTTAGCAAATCATGAACCCTTTGTCCTAAATATCATTTGCGTCCAATTGGTCCGCAGCGATCATGATGATGGAGAAGGCGAGAAACAGAGGGTTTGTGAGTTGACGGTGCTTCGAGGTGGGGCATAATTTCTCCTGTTAGAGCATTATGAGAGGAGTGATTGACATCGCTGTCATTACGGAATGATAAAGCAAACCTACTACGAGAAAAATATCATCCCATCCAATGTGGCATCGGTCTTAGAGGTGTTTGAGGGAACTAAGAGAACTTTTTCGATGATACTTCATAGCTGAACCTGCAATGATCGATGGGTATATGCATGTAACTCCCAAGTATTCAATCCAGGATAAGACGCCTGATGCCTGTGAAAGGGTGCACAGACGAAAGAGAAAGCTCAGGGTTCGGAAAAAACAAGTTTTTTTTTTCAATTACGGTTCCAAATTTTGCCACTAAAGCTCAGAATTTATTGCTTACAGCTCCTCCTTCCCTTTATCTACTGTTCCAGATAGAAGCAGAACGATAAGAAAGAGAAAAGCAGCTTTGGAGGCGCAGTCCAACACAACGAAGCAGTACGACCAAACGCCGGGTGGAACACCCGACACAGTAGTCAGAGTCAACTTCGCGGGTTCTATTACTCTTCCTCGATCTCGCTTGTGGTGTGGTCGTACTTTGAGGCTGTACTCTTTGAAATTTTTGATATGTTGGTGTTAGGAATAAAGAAATTATGCTAATTCAATCACTGACGTTAATGCCAAAATTAGCGCGGTTGGGTCTGCTTGTCTCCGAATCAATCAAGTAATTTTGAAGAATGATTGAGGGTGGTTTCACATTAGTAGCACAAACAACGTATCTTAGAATACCGTTTCCTCCTCAATGTTGTTTTGCTTAAGCTGAACACAGTTCATTTATGATATACGACTGTTTTAACTCATCATGTGTACACCCGGAGGCGCTGGACACTGCGAAAACCCAAAAAGTAAGAAACGGGGGAGGAAAAGTTGCCGGCAATCTGGATATCCACTCAAGTCAACTCATCAGTCTAAAAAAAAACAAAGACATTCTAAGGTAATAGGTATGAGTGCTATGAATGCAACAAATGGGCTCTATGTTAATTACGTGTTTGCTAATGATGCGGTTTTTCTTTACCACATTGCGTGCCGCGTGCCACCATGCGGCGCACGATCTTCTTGCCCTGTGTGGCCGCGTGCGCCACATGGTGGCGCACGATTTCTGAATTGATTTTGTTCACAATAGTTGTCGTTTCTTGATTCATGTTTTCGCAGACATATGTTTTCTGACTAGGAGAACAAAAAACCGAGTGGGACGTTTCCAGATAGATAGTTAATGTTTGCAAATGATATTCTTGGGAGAGCCTAGCTTTTTTCAAGTGAAGAAGATGATGTGCAGCAAAATAACAGCGGGAAGACTTTCGGACCGCTTCTTCCAGCACACATGTTTCTCGGCGGTAAATTCTTTTAGTGTCATGGTATTAAGCACTAGGAATGAACTTAATTTGAAATCCTACTGACGCTCGCCTAACCCTGGTATTGAAATCCATAACACGTACGGCAAATATGGGTGTAATGGATGCACATCCGTCGGAGTCCTGCGAAGAGTGGGATGAGTACAAATATTCTGCAATTCTATGTACTCGTCACTGCTCTTCAATAAACGTGATAAAGTAGACTGTGGGCAATGGAACTTTCTGGTTTGCAATCGCTGTTTCTCCCAAGAAGTTGGTCAAAACAGATTTTCGGATCCTTCACTATCGTTGTTGTGTAATTATTTGTTAACTTTTGAAACGTTCATGACAAGCCAAATAAGGAAAAAATACGACGCAGATTCCATAGAATTGTGGTTCAACCCGAATACAAGTACAATAAAGAGAAAAGTAACCCCAGAAGAGATTCGTGGAAAATGTCTGTCCCATGTGGCGCAGATGCGCAATACACGCGCGGCCATGCGGGCTCGCCACCGCAAAAACGGCTCGGTGGTGTGTTAAATGTGTTAAGGAACAATTGAGTTTCCAAAACCGGTTGTCCACAAGCCACGTTCTTCAAAGCAGAATAGTTGGAAAGACCCTTAGGAGCTTTTTCGAGATCCGTGTTTTTAGTTGATGTTATGTATTCCTAATTATGGCAGAGGCAAACTTCTAGTAGGCCACAGTCTCGTTTTACCTTGTTTTCAGTCATTTCAGGGCACTTCTTTATGTGACATGTACACCATGCTCTGTGTTTGTTGCAAAAAGTGGTCCTGAAAATTATAAAATTCGCCTATTGGGATATCGAAGTTCGAACAAATGC